CATTCATCTCTTCTTCTCACCTATTAACGGTTAAGTACAAACTTTGCTTAGCTGTTTGACCGCTTTCATTTCTCAACGATATAACATTGTTGTTCCAACCATTGCTTCAAGCAGTGGTTAAGGTATTTTTTGAATGTTTTAGTCATTTCAATTAGTTGTATGTTTTTATTTTTCATTGCATTTATTGCCCTGACTTTGGACAATGGCGGTCTATATCATCTGCGGTTGAGGTGAGAATGAGTTACATTGATTGCCCTTAATTATCGGCATAGTAAACTTACATGTCGAGGCAAATCAATGTAACCCTAACCACCACCAATGAAGTCACATGCAAAACCCTAGCCGCCGCTAACAGAGTCAGTGGAGTAACTGCTGGAGTGCCGGACTACGCATTTATGCAAAACACCATGAGATTTAGTTAGTGACTTCATGGTCATGCCGTCGTAGCGGTGGAGTTGATGGCGACGTCAAGGATACTCATATTGGCGGTTGTTAAGTTGGGGGCGGCTGAATTATTATGAATTATAAAAGAATTATTAATGGCGACACACTAATTATTATGAATTATAAAATATGGAATACCGTAATAATAAACATGATATTAAATAAAGGCCATAAATAACATGATAAGACACTTTTTGGAAAATATTAAAAACAATGGAAATTGCCCTAAATAGGAGTAAAAACATTTAGAAATGCCAAAATAGGATTTTTCATGCTTTTATTCCATAAATAGGAGTAATTATGTCAGGTTTGGAAAAAATGTCATGTTTAAAGCCAGTAAAGTGCCAAACTGGACATAAATTTACTCCTATATAGGGAATAAAAATCATGATAGTCTTGTTTTGGATTTTGAAATTTTTTTTACTCCTATTTAGGGAATTCCCTATTAAAACAAGTCTTATTTGTTGTATTTATTTTAGTAATCTTCATAAAAAGACCCATAGCCTACCTGCATCGGGGAGGTGAAAATCCCAAACGGGATGTTTTCACCCCAAAATAGGTGCAACCCAACATTTTTTTGTATACCAGTCATAAACTGAATACAAGGAATCGAGGGAGGGGAAATGTGTCTGCCACATTCACCTTTGTCCCATACGGTTGACATGCACAACAAACAAGAGATGGGACATCAGCACAGAGGAAAGAGCGGAGGAGGATTGTGCGTGCACCTTTCCAGGTCTCATGTGCCTGTGATTTCATTTGTCCAACTTGGGAGGAGAGTGGTTTTTAATGTTTGTCTTATTTAAATTAATTTCAAATTGATTTCAAGTGTGCATTTTGTATTCTTACAAAAAAAATTAATTCATTTTTTTTAAATCAGAATGTTTGACACATTAAATCATATAATTATTGGTAGAACTAAAATGGTCACATAAATTATGTGTTGTAAGAAAGTAAGGATTAATGCACTTAATTAAAAAATGTGCTAGGTGAATATATTGACGATGCTGAGTTGGAGGGAAAAATTGAATTGATTAAGTGATATGTATAAACTTATGGGAAATTAGATTTATTGACGGGGTAGATTGCAGTTAGCCTTATTAGAGCAACATTGTCTCTATTATTCGTGAAGTACTTAATGCCCAAGGCATATGATAAATCAACAAATGAAACTTTTTAAAACTTTTCGTGACCGTCATGGCATCATTAGAAAGAGGATCGACAACGATGTCGTTCCATAGATGCATGACCATGAGAAAGTGGAGAAAAATAGAGGAAGAGATGGGAGGGGCGAGCTGAATAAGATGGGGGGGGGGGGGCAAGAGGGGGGATTAAAAGAAAGAAAACAAGAATTCAACCAAGTACCTTGTGGTGTGATGACATCACTGCTGATGTTGACATTAACAAGAGCAGTTACTATAATAGGTCTAGAAGAATATTCCCAAAAAAACAAGAATTCAAAGAACACCTTGATCGCCACAACATCAAAGCAACCGGTAAATCCTGCAAATCGGACATTAACCTGTTAAATTACACATTTGACCATTTTTAAAAAGTTTACGAGCTTAATTGAGTCTTTTTTAGTTTGATGACTTAATTGACTTTCCCAATAAACTACACAACATTTCAAGATGTTGCCTTAAGAAATCTTGTTGGTCCAACATTCAACTCCACCATCATAAAGTCACCATTGATTTGAACACCACAACTTTATTAATCAACTCACTCGATCTCATAAATGGCACCTCGTAACTATCATTAACATAACAAAACACGTAGGTGATTAACTGTAACGCCAAGGAATAACTTAATATGAGCTTGAAGAATCATCAAAATTATACATAAAATGGGGGGCAACTAGACCTAGCAAATCAAAAAAAATAGAAGATCAAAATTTTGTTCATTTGAACTCATTGAATCTCCCACCACATAAGATTAGATTATACTAAACAATTAATAGATCCTAAAATCATATTAGATTTAAACTCATTGAATAAGACAATTCAATTCAACCAAATACAACATTATCATTTAATAATAATATGCACATGTTATTAAATCATTGTTATTATCTAAAAAACTATAGGCATCAATGATGGTTAGAGCATTTTAGGAATGATAAGAATGTTGGTGGTATAATAAAGCAAAATGCACTTGTACAATTTATTTTGGTGATTGCACCATTCATTATAATCTTTTGTGTCTCCTTAATTACTTCCGTTAAAACCAACGGTTCCTTTCCAACATTTGACATGTGCACTTGGCATATTAAGTTTTTTATTATATGCACTTCATTGATTTGATTTCCATTCAATATTTGACTTAATTTTATTTTTTAAATTTTCTCTACTATACCTTACGATAGTATTTGTTAACTAGAGGAGAAAAAAATTAATTTCATGTAAATTAAACTATTATTATTATCATTATCAATATTACTATTTTTATTATCAATATCATCATTATCCACTTTATTACCAATCTTATGATTATCAATATTATTGTGGTTATTATTATTTATTGTTTTTGCTGTTATCAATGTAGTTTATTATTATTAATATAATCATTAATTTTTATTATCAATATTTTCATTATCCATATTATTAGTATCAAATTATGATCATCGTTATTATTGTGGTTATTATTATTTATCATTTTTGTTGTTATTTGTACATTATTATAAATATAAAACCATAAGTTCTTGCTACTAATATTTGAAAATTAATAACATTGTTAAACTATTATTAACATAATTGTTTTCATTTTTTGAAATAAAACTCCTCATATCATTAATCAATCATATCGTTCGCCAACTGGCTGACAAGAAAATAAGGAATAACATCATAGCTGTGATCTTGGTTCGAGATTAAAACGCATGGCCTTGCCAATGTTCCTCAGCTTCCATAAACTCCAAATAACCCCCATAAACTTGCTCCAGCGCTCCCCCCTGCACTTTCCAGAACTGCCCGCACTCATCCTTTAAAACTGTCCGCCGGCGACCTGAAATGAGCACCTCCTAGCTGCCAAACAGATGAAATGCTATTCATCATAAATTAATATAAGACTTTTCCATTAATGTCCCTAAAGAAATACTCCCTCTATCCCGAAAGGGTTGGCCAAATTTCCTTTTTTGGATGTCCCAAAAAGTTTTGTCATTTCCATTTAAAGTAAGAAATACGTGGCTAAGTTAACTCTCTCTCCTCTGCACACATTTCAGCCACACAATTTTTACTTTATTAATCCATGTGAAAGTCAACTTTGGCCAACCTTTTCGGGACGAAGGGAGTATCACTTCCTCATGAATTTATACTAATCAAAATTTGATGCCTCAACTTTTTCCCAGTTTTTTCGAGGGAATAACCCTAACCCCGTTTTTCTAAAAACTTATAAGAAGTTTTATGAAGTTGTGAAATACTATTCTGAGCTTTATCAACTGGAGGAGACCTCTAATCATGAATGTATATCAAAATACATTTGAGTTTATTACGGAGGAGGACAACCAAAAATTAAAAACACATTGATGCATACTTTTGTATAATTGTATGTACATACCAAATAGATATTTCTTGCAAATGTATGTGTGGAGAATGGCGTGTAAAAAACTAGTATATATATCTAAATAAACATAAATGATTTAGAACATACTACGTACCACATAAAGTTGAAAACTAAAATTTCGTTCAATATTACATTATATATATGAATGTTTTTTGAAACTGTTATATATGTGGAAGAAGTTAAAAAACTAAATACTTAGTTCAACATAGATGCTTCGTGCACATTCCATGGATTGTTAGTGTCACAAATAAATTTGGTTACTTTAAAGACAAATCGGTTGTGATGCTGACAAAGATTGTAAGTGATGCTAACATTTTTCTCCTATTTTTGTCGATATCTAAGGCAATTTGCCTAAAAAATCGAGACAAATTATGTATGATACAAACAATTTAGGCATATAGAAAAAGTTTAGACAAGTTAGGGACAAACATTGTAATAAAATAATTAGACATTTGTGATTATCATAAAGATATTCACAAAAATGTGACATTTGTCTACAGTGATTATAGTAATAATTTAATCATACTATTAGTCATATATTTTATAAAAATTGTGACATACGAAGTATAATTTATGAAGTTTTCCTTAAATGTTACTTTGTACTAATAAAAGGGTTACTGGAAAAATGTTATTTAATAACTATTAGTGAATATAATTACAGTCAAAGATTAAATCGTATTCACTTGCATGTAGTTATAATAACAAAAAACTATTTGTACCCACTCTTATACCCACTTTTGTACCTATCATGTCTGTGATGAGTTTTTTTTGTCCGTGAATCCCGGTCACAGACAAATTATATCTATGCAATTATTTTGTTTGTAAATCCAAAAAAAACTCCTCAGAGACATGGTGAGTATAAGATGAATATAAAAGTGTGCACAAGAAGAAACTCTGTTATAATAATGTGCAATTATAATCATAAAAAAATAAAAAAATAATCACAAAAAATTATTAAATACGGAGTAATATTTTTGTCAATTTTAATCATTTTTTTCTTTTGTAATTTAATGGATGACGAGAAGAGTATATATCTCACTCCGCCAAGGCGCCAACACCGAACAACAGCGGCCGGTCAGCTCCAGCAACCGCGAGAGTATAATCTCAGGAAAACTTCCACAGAACTTTCATGTCCATCTCGCCCTCGCAGAATCAACTTGGTTCAGCGTCGTCATCATCTTCACATCCGGGCATACCTCGAAACCCTAATTCTAATAATGGATTCGTTTCTTTCCCACATCAACACCAGCCAGAAGATCCCTCTTTGCTCATCTCCGGCCTGGACTCCACACGAATCGCTGATTCTGGTTCTTCGTCATCTTCCTACTGCTTTCCTTCAGGTGTTCTTGCTTTTGTCTATCCTTTTTAGTGTTTAAATTGCCTGTAATAATGTTACTACGGGCTAGATCGCTGGCTGTACCTTTTTCTAGTGGCTGGCACATACCCCCTCCCCCAAGGCCCCAAATTCCAAAACTTGAGTTGTATGACTGCGGTTGCAGTGAGAATGAAAAAAATGGTATCCTCTATTATTTATTTATTTATTTATTTATTTATTTATTTATTATTTATTTATTTCTTTATTTTTAAATTTATTTATTTATTTATTTTTAAATTGATTTGTTTATTTATTTACTCTTTGTAGCGTTATGTATTCACATGCATGCTCGTATATCTTTTACAGAAACAAGCTCACTTGGTGCTGCAGCACTTGAGTCATGTGCATCTTCAGATACGGTAATTTGCTACTCTTTTCCTTGTTAACCCCAACTTTGCAACTACGAAACACATCACATGCCTTTGATATTTTAAGTGCCCTTGACTAACTGAAAATACAGTGCATTTGCCTTATCGCTTTGGAGTTTGTACCGATTGACCATTATTGTATCAGTAGTATCCTCACATTTTTTGGGACTATACTCAAATGTCCAACATAATTGTTGGTAGTGATGTTTAATAGTTAATCCTTTCATTACTTGAATAAAAATTCGTTTTTCTTTCTTGAATTTTGAATTTGACAAGGTCCGACCTCACTTTGGAACGAACGGGTAGGGGCTTAAAAAAAGATAGTATCACGCTTGCTCTCAATGTTAAGTCAACCACAGCTCGATCCTCGGGCAAGGAAATGATTAAACTATTTTCCAAGTCCGGGATTAGTTGCTCGATCAGGGTGGCTGGTCAGGGCGACTGTTAGACCGGCCTCCGGGTCGAAAAGGTATGCGAAAGGTCGTGCTCCTAGCCCCTCTCGCACATCCGTTGTCTGACGTTGCTGTCTAAACAACTTGCATACTCGTTTGATCTAATTGACGATGCGGCGACTATATGACCGGTTTCTGGGCCAAAGGTATGCAAGAGGTACGCTCCGAGCTCCTCTCGTACATCCGTTGTCTGACGTCGCTAGGTTTAACAGCCCGCATACTCGTTTGATATGGTCAGCGGTGCGGGTTCGATTCTTGTCTGACCATGCAGGGCCTTGCCCTTACATTTGGCCGACTTCATTTTTACTTTCAGAAAGGGATAAATGCCGGATAATTAGTTTTTTCCAAGTATGAAACTAACTGTACAAGTCAAGGTGTAGTACCAGCCTCCGGGTCGAGGGTAAGCCGGGAGTCGTGCTCCGAGCCCTTCTCGTACATCCGTTGTCTGATCATTGCCAAAATAGCTTGCGCACTAGTCGATCCTAGATCGACAGTGTGCGGGTCAACCTCACCTTACCAAGCAGGGCGCGGTCAAGGTTGGCCCTGCCGACCTTTCGCCCCTCGTGGCTTAGGTGGGGAGCTAGATCACCGATTAATTCCCCAAGTATTCTCAGATGAAAATTGTCAAGTGAATGGGAAGGATGAACAAAGCACAAATACAAGATTAAGTGATAAAACAACCCGTGAATAAAGAATGAGAATTCAAAACAGAAGTCTGAAAAGTAAAGTAGAGTGTCAACTGTCAAACAAAAATAAAGAGGTTACAATATACTATCTATGGATCGAGCATATTCTTAGGAACACCATTGAGGACATTCTCGGAATCAAAGCCATTTGCAGTACTCTCCAGGGCATATTCGTCCGCTTGCTCCTTTTCCTCGTCAGGATCAGACATGATCTCGGGCAAACCAAACTTCTCGGAATAGAAGTCGGAATAAAGCTCTGCCAGCCTGTCGTACAATGTCTTCTGCATATCATATCGGCCACACCTGAAGGAAATGAGAACCTCCTTATCTCGCCAAAGCCGACCCTACTCGGTTTCCAACCATGTTCGAACCTGCTCTGAACGTTGAGCTTCCATCCTAGAAGTGATAATCTCTATAAACTCTGGGGAAGCTTGGAGCGCCGTGACTGCCTGACGCCCCGCGTTTGTGGACGATGCCTCCAGATGATCATACTTTGATTGAAGCAGGTCATACTTCTCGACTGGAGCTTGGACAATAAAGTATGATCAACTGGAGGCATCGTCCAAGGACGCGGGGCGTCAGGCGGTCGTGGCATTCCAAGCTTCCCCGTAGTTTTTAGAGATTATCACTTCTAGGATGGAAGCTCAACGTTCAGATCAGGTTCGAACATGGTTGGAAACCGAGGAGGGTCAGCTCTGGCGAGATAAGGAGATTCTCAACTCCTTCAGGCAAACTTATTAAAAGCGAGAAAAAGCGTAAAGCGAGAGCGAGCGATGGTTATGCGCTACGCTTTTCATTAGCGCGGCTGTGTGAGAAAGCGAACGCTTTCCTCCGCTTTTCCGGTAAGCGACGCTGCGCAAAAGCCCGCTTCTCACAGAAAGCGTTAATTGACCGGTCAACAAGTGCAAATTAGTTTTTTTTAGTTTTACTCTACCTAGGGTTGAGTCTGGTTAAAGATAGACAAATCGATCGTTTAGAAGACTTTTCCAGGTCTTCTCCAGAGCTGCGACAATCAGAAGACTTTTCCGAAGCTGCGAGCCTGCGAGTCTGCGACAATTTGAAGACTTCTCCAGGTATTTCTTCTCGAGCGAATACTGCTGAGGTAGTTTTAGTCTGCGAAAACCAACTGCTGAGGTATTCCTTCTCGGTTAATTCTATATGGTAATCCTAATGTTCGTTTCATTTTATTTCAAGTGTTTGTGGTTGATTTGTTTACTCTGTCTTTTCATTTTGGTTGATTTGTTTACTCTTCACTTTTAATTTTGTCTTTACGCATTTCTAAAGTTGTATACTACTATACTCTTCAGTGTGCCAAGTCCAACTCCAACTTAAAGAGTCTTCACTTTGAATTTTGTGGTTAATTTGATTTAATTTTGTGTTTTCCATTGTTCTATACTCTATCTTTTTAGATTCTTCACAGTTGTATACTCTTCACTTTGAATTTTGTGGTTGATTTGTTTTAATTTTGTGTTTTTCATTGTGTGTTTTAATGAGATTAAGATATTAAATTACTAGTACTTCGTAAAAAAGGGGTAGAGAATATGTTGTAAATTAATAATATATAAATATTTACACTTGTTTATGCACCATATGGCACGCTAGTATTATTCTTAATGACTTTTATGACTACTTATGCATTTTTGGCTTAATTATACATTATATATTTTATTTTTTTATTTTTTTATAAGCATCGCTTTTTGTGAGAAAGCAACGCTTCGCTTAGCGCTTTCGCTTTAAAGCAAAGCCCGAACTCAACGCTTTTGAACGCTTTTCGCTTTAAAAAAGTTTGCCTTCAGGTGTGGCCGATATGACATGCAGAAGACCCTGTCCGACAGGCTGGCGGAGCTTTATTCCACTTCCATCCCGAGAAGTTCGGTTTGCCAGAGATCATGCCGGATCCTGACGAGGAAGAGGAGCAAGTGAACAAACTGTCCCTTCTGCACTTGGATATCCCTGATGACCTAGAGGGTACCACACACGACTTTGATTCTGAGACTGTACTCAATGGTGTTCCTGAGAATATGCCCCATCCTTAGATAGTAGATTGTAACCTCTTTATTTTTGCTTGACACTCTATTTACTTTTCAGATTTCTGTTTTGGATTCTCATTCTTTATTCACGAGCTGTTTTATCACATAATCTTATATTTGTGCTTTGTTCATCCTTCCCATTCACTTGACAATTTTTCTTCTGAGAATATTTGGGGAATTAATCGGGGATCTAGCTCTCCACCTAAGCCATGAGGGGCGGAAGGTCGGTAGGGCCAACATTGACCGCGCCCTAAGGCCACCTAAGGCGAGGCTGGGCACACTGTCTATATAGGATCGACTAGTGCGCAAGCTGTTTTGGCCAGTGGTCAGATGACGGATGTACGAGAAGGGCTCGGAGCACGACTCTCCGCATACCCTTGACCCGGAGGCCGGTCCTACACCTTGACTTGTACAATTAGTTTCATACTTGAAAAAAAAAGATACTATCACGCCCCACTCTAGGTGTTTAGTCGACCACGACTCGATCATAGTGATTCCCAGCTGGCAGGTGGAGGAATTCAAGCAGGCTAGCAACGAGGAGAGACTCAGAGCCGAACTCTAGACCCGGCCCATTATCCCAACAATAATCAAGATTCTTTAAAAATATTTTTTATAGCAATCAAAGGCCCAAGACAGGAATGTATTATCTACCTTGTGACATAGTGGATGTGAATATGATTTTGGGAAAAGGGGCAAATAAGGTCACGTACTAACCAAAAAAGGTCAAATAAAGCCTTATTTAGGAGGTTCTGTCAAGTCGTCGCCATTTGGGGTGGTTCCCGGTGGAATTTTTTAATGTAATTTTTTGAACATCTTATTCATTAAGTCTAGTTTACTCATACCAAATTTCAGCTAACAATTCAATCGGGAAGTCATTCAAATGAATTCTTGAAGATAACTGCGCTTTTAAATGTGCAGTTATCTTCAAGAATTCGTTTGAATGTCTTCCCGATTGAAGTTTTAGTTGAAATTTGGTATGAGTAAACTAGACTTAATGAATAAGATGTTTAAAAAAATTCATAAAAAAATTCCACCGGGAACCACCTCAAATGGCGATGTCCAGACAAAGCCTCCTAAATAAGGCCTTATTTGACCTTTTTTGGTTAGTACATGACCTTATTTGCCCCTTTTCTCTATGATTTTTAATATTTTCAGTTTAGAAAACATCTTAAGGTAGTTGCAACAGTAACATACATAGTTAATGATACAGATAGTTAATAGTTCTCTGTTGCAAGTTACACATGCATTAGTAAAGCAATAAACATCCTAAAACACAGTCGCGACAAGCACACACCTATGTGTTTTTGGGCTCTCTATGCACCTCAGACAAATTGCTGCGCCAGGGTGCACTCAAAGAGCAGACCCTTCCCTGCGCCTTGCCTGGTGCCCTCGCTTTTAACTGCATTGGGTCTGACCAAAACTATGCGCCAAGATGCATACACAAAGATGTCATCAAAGAGCACCAAGTCATTAAAGTACCAGAGGAGGAGTCAGTTTCTTCTCCATCACTTCATCACTTACCAATTTTCAAAATATAAATGAGAACAAACAACAGAGATATAAATAAGAAAACAAAAAAACAAAAAGAAATAGATAAAAGACAATTGCTGCAAGAGTGCCCATTCAATGAAAGGAAAGATAACAAGATCCTATTTTTTTCAAATCATCTTAGACAGACAGAAAACCCAACAAAAGTAGTATTTTTGGACTTCGGAGCAGTACCTAAAGTGTTTTGCATCAGAGCAACGGGCAACCTAAACAATGGGACATACAGTGACTGGGATATTGGTATAACTGTATAACACACACCTTTTTAGGGAGGCAGCAGGCCACACGGCCCACATCCCTTTCCAAACTGTGTATAACTGCCCACCTCCAACCTTGACTCGATATCTTCCTAGGGAATGTAAGGTGACATCTACGGTGCACCTATACTTTGTTGTGTTGAGTCTACATATCCTATACTTTACATATTGAGTCATACATGTAATTTTGTAAATTTATCAGAGCTATTTTATAAAAACTTTTTGATAATTGTATCCACAAATCGGTACACATATTTAATATACAACCATGATAAGTCTACATTATTTTGCTACATTCTTGTGTGACATGCTCAATTGGATGATGAAAAATTAAATAACATGCCTCACATGAATGTAGCAATAGAATGTAGAAAAAATTGTATACCTATCCTTACTCTTTAACACAACACTTTTTGGTAATAGTATTTACCACATTTGGTATTCACATATTCAATCAACCAAAATTCCCTAATTCAGCATACATCGCCGATAGTATGCAAGTTCTTACACCTGAGTAGTAATTACTATCAATTAAAGTCTAAACATTGGAGTCTTGCATTGTTTATGAACTTCTGGTACTGTAGTTATTTATTTTTGATGATTTGAAATAATCATGTTAATTTTATTTGAAAAAGAGTTCTTGTATTTCTTATTATTTGCAAATAGCCAAACATACCTTTATATCAGTATTTTTGTTTTTAAATTTGCTGTATCACCGTACTTTTATATCATATCAATGTATCCGGATACCCATATCTTTATCATAGGGTGAGCAACAGTTGAAGAACACATTGGTCGGAATGATGCTTACTTGGATCTATGTTGTAAAAACCGGATTGGGAAGCAACCCAGTCAAGTGACTGCCACAGGTCAACCCAGACCTGGTGGGTCAACCCGGTCAACACTAAGAAAACCGATCAATGTTTATTGAAAATTTAAACATATAATATGTCTAATATATATTAGATTAAAGTGTTCGAAATTTAATGGAGTGAGTTCTCGAGTGGGAGGTTACTTTGTCTAGTGGGAGGTCTCGAGTTTGAAACCCGCTAGGCACATAAGGGTTCGAAACTCAATGGAGTGAGTTTCAGTTTTACTCCGGGCTCCCCCCAGCCCCCTCCCCCAAACCCCCTAGAGTAATATATATATATTAAAGTTGTATGGTCAAGAATTACTCTCGTTCAAAATTTAATCATGGTAATAAGAATGGATAAAAACTAATGTGCCAAAATGTAGAAATTCTTTAACAAAATTTAAAATGTGTTTGGAATTAGATGGAGCATAATATTTATAAGAAAAAATGAATAAGAGGGATCGGTGCTAAGATAATTTATAAATAGTTTGTTAGCATACTAATAGCATAGAAATAGTAAACATACTAATTATTTCCTAATTAATACTAGTTTGTTTCCTAATTATTAAGAATTAAGATTACTAGTTACTAAGACATACTAAACATGTTACTGGGGTACAGACGTAGAGTATAAATGCAATCAAAGTAAGTTTTTACACAAACATGGAGTAGCAGATGGTAGTGTGTGCGTATGGCTGTGTTTGACGACGTTCCCGAGATCGAAGCCCATCGGGAATGATTTTTAGTGAAGAATTTGGCTTATTGGCTAAGTATTGCCGGTTTTTGTTAAACTTCAGGGTCTCAGTTCCAGGTCCGGTTCGGGTTATGGTGGGCCGTCGGTTAATTCCGGTTTTAGGCATATTAGTGGTTCTCCACTTGACCGGCCTAGTTCCAGGGCCGGTTGACCGAGTTCCAGTCCGAACCGCCCGGTCCGGTCCGGTTCCTAAAACATAGACTTAAATGGCTGTCTCAGATTTTCTTGTCCAGTTTCCTCACTCCAGCCTTGCAGAGAAGGCTGTTTCATGAGCAGGAAGCAATGATACAGAACAACACCACATGATAATTTACTCACAAAACGAAAGCACACACACACACGAGAAGATATCCGATTACTGAACTGGAGGGCTATGATGAAAGAAATATAGTAACATATTTGGAGGTGCATGATTAAAGCCAGAATTACAGGCTACATCAGGAGTAGAACAATTAGAAATTGTATTGTTTATTAAACGATACTCTGTACACTACCAACCTTTTTCTCAAACTCTACCAACTTTTACTAGTAAGCACTTTATACAAATCACTTAAAAAATCACTTTTTTAAAGTAGAAGCAATTGCAAACACCCCCTTACTTTGCATGATTTTGCTGTGCAATTGTTAAAATCCTATCTAATATGATATAGGTGAATTTATCAAGCAATCAAGAAGACATTGAAACTTTGTCATATGATGTTGGGGAGGTATCAGTGAATGACCGTGGAAAATCACCCAGACTGTCAGTGAATGACCGTGGGAAATCATCCAGAGCATCTCTTCCTCCCATAAGTGACAACTCCTACTCTGGAACTATCAGATCTCAAGGGACCATGCCTCGTTCAGCCGGGAGAAGAACTCAGATGGTCAGTGGCAACCACTTACTTAATTTTCATTATGATCCCATTTCACGGCCAAAGTCCATTGCTCCCCATCCAAGGAAGATGCCAAAAAGAAAGCCATACAATAAAGATTTGTTTCTTCAAGCTAATTACAAGTTTGTTGTGTTTGGTTTGGGGATCTATGTGCCTGAGCTTATGGATCCTGATAAAATGTTAGAGTGGGAAGATATCATTTGTGTAAAGTTTTCTACTTCGTTTCCCGTCCAGTGCCCAATCTGCTTAGAAGATCCCCTATGTCCACAGATAACTTCATGTGGTCATATCTTTTGCTTCCCATGCATTATGCAATATTTCTCAGGGGGTGAAGATGATTACAGAGGTGAATGCTGGAAGAAGTGTCCCCTATGTTTTATGATGATATCATGTAAGGACATGTGCACAGTTCAGATTGAGAATGTTAAGCAGTATCTTGTAGGTGATGACATAAACTTTTTGCTTTTGACACGCCAAAAAGATTCATATTCTCTGTCTTTAAAGAGTAATAATGACGATGTTGATGCCTGTGAGGAGGCGTTGGACTCCTTTTCGAAGTTCACTTTCACCACAGATGTGGATCTTTCTGTTCGAGAGCCTATGTCTGATCTGGATAGTTGGTTAGCAAGGGCAGATTCTGGTTTGGTCGATGACCTAGAGAAACTTCCATATGTCTGTGCTGCAATGGAACAATTGCAGCAAAGAAAGAAATATTGGAATGAGCAAAGAGTTTCTGATAGAAATAACAAGCTTCGTAAGGACAGCTCTTGTGATAAAGGCTCTTACACTCCACCCTCAAATGTGAATAAATCAATTTTGCATGAAAATTCAAGTCTAAAAAATAAGTTGTTACCAACGCCAACCGGTGAAGTTCAACTACCAAAAGATCGATGTGAATCTTTTCCTTCTGTTGAGCTTGGCAAGAACACACAAGAAGTTACTGGTGCTTTGAGGGATTCACAGAATACAAATTCTTATATTTTTTACCAGGTTGTTCCTGTCACCTTTTGCAGTTTAATTTAATAATATTCATCCCCACACAGATCATGAAAATTTGCTCAAGCTCAATTTATGTCATTTAACTTACACAGTTACACTAACAGGTCAGTAAACTGAAGTGACCCAATTAACTTTAGTGAAACCAGTTTAGTAAAAAATGGGTGAATTGTGAACCCATCTACAAAAATAAGAATGTCTTTTGGATAATTATTAAAATGCTATCCCAGTTGAATGTAATAAATGTTTTTCTGGATGGAGCTCAAGTATATTTTAACATGTTAAAATTACGTATAAAGATAACTTGATCTATGAGAACCTCCGACTTACAGGTCCTCTAGAACTGTGTTATGGGAGGCTTTCATAGGTTCTCCGGGGTAAACCTAGGCTGTTGTCATTAAATGATTAAGAAATGAGATGAACCCATAATTACACCTAAGAGCTTACGTTTCACCCCAACAGACGGACCACAAGGGTGTGGTTGTTTGGCACCTTCGCTGAGATGAACCAATCAATGTATTACAATTAGGCAATTCAAACATATTGAAATGGTAAAAGATAACATTGACCAATGGTATGCATTTATGTACTCCACCCTCATTAATTTGAATGCCATATGCCCAATTGCTCGCTCAAATACTCCGTATAAATTTCATCAATCTTAGTAAAAGTTCACAAAAAAAATCTTTTGATGTAATCTTTTTTTCATGAAATGAATAACTCCCATTGATTGTTTGCTTCTTGCATTTATTATTTCATCTCCTATCATGTTTTTATAACATGCTATCGTTTACATATAATTACTTTGTTCCATCTCCAGGCTGCGGATGGTCAACACCTTATCATTCACCCACTAAACATGAAGTGTCTTCTGCATTACTATGGGAACTATGACCGACTTCCAAACAGGCAATACAACATAGTACTTACCTATTAGACCTGTTCTTTCCTTGCTGAATCATACAATACAGAAAAGTAGGCATAGTCCTTTGTATTCTCTCTCTTCTTTTCTATTTTGTTTGAATGGGGGGGTTGAGAGGGGTGGGGCCCGTGGGGGCTGAATATTTTGGGGTTTTGAAGTTATGTGAGCAAAGTTAATGTTGCTTGTTATATACTTCGTTCTAATACCAATATGTTATTTGAGTTGTTCATACTCCCCATATAACCTTTTTCACTTCACTGGGCTGCACACATTAACATGGCTGTAAGTTACTTAAAGCGTCTGGTCAAGATGCTGCCCCCCCACATACCACAGACACAGTCAAACAAATATGTCTATTCCGGGTTTTGTGAAATTATATTAGCAAAGTTAATGAGTACCAAGATCAATTGATTTTTTCGAGTACCAAAATTGATTTTGGCTTCTTTAAAGTCTCTTTTTCTGTTATCCAATTATCCTTCAGTCTATTGATCATCACTTAGGTTGCACATGGCAACATTTTCTATAAGATATTTGTAAGCATGTGGTTTGAAACACTTGACCTTCCTTTGATCTCCCCTCGACACACACAACGGGCACACACCAAACACAGATTTGTTCTATGTATTTTTTTTCATTTAAGGTTTTGAAGTATCTCCTCAGCAGAGCACTGACGATTATAATAATAAAATAATGAATAATGCTATAACTCAGAATCAGCGGGAAAATTCTGCAGTTGGAAACTATGACTCAGTCAGAGGCTATCAGGAAACGCTACCGCTATTTGAGCCATATTTCTTTGACAACTTCAATAAAGGTAACCATCAAGTTGAAGCTCTAATTGAACTCCCCAAGAAGGAACATTTTGAGAAAAGTCATGCTGCGTTGCCTCATTCTGGTTATTGCTCGTTTTTCAGCTTTGCGAAATTGATCTTTGCAACATATTGCCCGTTGAAGCACTTTCTCCATTTATGACTGAAATTAAGAAGAGAGAAACACAAAGAAAGCGGGTTGCTAGGAAGGTACTAATATTCTCTTTCCTAATACTCCCTTCGTACTCGGAAGCTTGCTTCATAGGGTTTCACATTAAGGAAGGGGAGATGAAAAAGTTTAAAAAAAAGGAGAGAGAAGGTGAAAGTGCAAGATAAGTAGAAAAGAGAAGATGAAAAAGAGAGAAGGTAAATCAATTATATCCATTGATAAGCTCATATTTACCAAAAAGGGGAAGTGGAACAGTTAATTAGAAAATTCTTAAATAAAAGTGGTTTGTCCTTTCAAAAAGGGAAAGTGGTAACTTGTAAAAATGTTTAGGTAAGCTCATATTTACCAAATTAAGTATGTGCTTGTGCAATATATAACCACTATTATGTTTTTGGCCTTCCAATAAATAATCAGCATTCAGCACCAAGCTTGCACTAGTTGACTATACCGGTTTTCACTAAGCTTAGATGCTTGCTGAATGATCAATTATATTGATTGCCATTGAATACTAGTCTCTTCCATTCAACTGATTTACAATGCATATTACTTTAAGCAGCATTCCTCTTCATCGTATATCATTCAAGCTTGTTTATTGGATTAACCATGATATCTCTTTCTGGTGGTAATCTCGTTGCTGATTACGCATATTTCCTTGTTCATGCTCAATTTTATGTCATCTCTTTTTTTGCATGTTGGAACTCTTATATTTGTGTTTTTGTTTCCAGGAGCAGCATGTGAAAATTAAGGCTGAAACTACTACATTTCAGTATGTTCTTCCACCTTATAACCAGGCAGACACTACTTATGCTGACATGCCTGCATTCACCAATGATGATTTTGAAGGTATGTTGCTATTATCATATGCAATCCATTTTATATCTAGATACATACAACAACATCCAAGCCTTATTCCCAAAAGATTTTGGGGTTAGCTAACATGAATCCAAACCCTTTGGCGAAGGGTAAATGATAGAATCCAGACCCTTTGGTGAAGTTTCGGTTCTGAAAAAATAGTAATTTCCGGTATGTTTTTAACCAGCAAAATGAACTTGCTTATTAATGAGTTGTGAGTGCCAATTCAGTTTTTCTTGACAAGGTAGAATGCGAAATGAGGTTAGCTGGTATTCATATATATGAGACAAAAGATACACCAAATGGGGCGAGCCCCCTAGGTTTATGGTTATGATATGACATCCGTACCTCCAATATGATCACCAATATGAGTCTAAACTGTTTGAATACCAAAAGTGTTACAACTTGGATGATCTAAGTGGTCATGTAAGATAATTGCTTACTCAGCGGACACTACAAGCAAATCAATCAGAAGGATGGAGATAATAGAAGTCCTGACTCATGTGATGCGAATCACTTTTTGAGCAGAAATGGTTTAAAACAATTGAGAGAGCGAGCATTTTTGCCAAGAGACACATGATTAAATATACTATTAAGAAGAGAGATTCCCTAAATGGGACTAAAACAACATAGAAGTGAAAGAATAAGACTAATTTTTTTATAGGACTAAAAATATACTAACATGACAAAATTACCATTAATGAAAAATTTAAAACTTTTCCCAGCCAGTAATTGCCGATGCCCAGGACTTCTCAATCAACAATGCCATGCGACAAGTGTATGCACTGGGCCTCGATCATCCATCCTCCAGTAAGTTCACCGCAGCCGCTTCCCTTCGGCGAGTTCGCCGCCACCATCCTCCAACAAATCCACCGCTCTCTGACAAGTCCCTGCAGACCTCCAGAGACTCAGCGAGAATGCCACTTGATATGAATAATGATATAATAATGGCATTTGTATATAGAAAAATGTCATTTTCAGATGTTGAAAAATAAATGCATTCTCGTATTCTCATTTTCATAGGATATTACATAATGATCAGATTGAAATTGAAAAATCTAAAATACGAGAAGAAAATGAAGTCAGACCTAAATTTGCCTTTTGTACATTAAGTGTCATAAAAATGATATCGTTTGGCAAGCATGTCAAAAAATATGGCATTACAAATGCTATATTTTCAAAAGATTGCCATTTTGATAAATGTAATGGCAGTAATGCCATAAAAGTGTCATTTTTTAAATTACCAATAATTATGACATTCTCATATTCGAAAGTGGCCTTTTTATGATAATCAGTAATTAGGGCATTCTCAGAATAAAAATTGATATTAAATAAATGAAAATTCAAATTGAGAATTTTTCCAATCAATTGTTCTTCATTGAAATCTAATCTTCATCTGAAACTTTCAAGTTTCAAATCTGAATTTTATTTCATAGAAAATAAAAAACAGAAAGCATAGGACATGAAGAGGAGGAAGAAGAGGAGGAGAAGAAGTAAATTACGTGGTTTTACCGGAGAAATTGCAGAACAGCGATGTGGCTACCATCAATTGTGGAGGGGCAGCAGTCCATGGCAGCAGCGCGGCTACTTTCGATGGTGGAGGGGCAGCAGTCCGTGACAGTGATGCGGCTATGGACACCTACCGTCAATGAAGAGGGAGAGAGGTCGATAGATGTCTGCGGTGGATGGAGTCAGGTTTTGGGTTTAATTATAGGAAGGGCAAAAATGTGATTTGGAGACTGGAGTCCTTTTTACGGAATAATAAACTTATAGTCCTACTTTGGAGCTTTGTTAATGTTGTAGTCCCATTCTTGTTGTACCCACCCTTATACCCACCATGTACGTGAAGGTTTTTTTTTTTAACTGTGAACGGGATTCACAGACAAAAAAAAGCCTTTCACAGACATGGGTATAAAAATGGGTATAAGGGTGGGTTGTCATGGCGGTTAGTCTTGGCTCAGAGAGTCAGCGCTAGCTGACTGCCTTATCACCTAGGGTCTAGGTACCCTCCTACGCAACAAGTCGTGTCTTATGTAATATTTAAACTTAAATATACGTACATAATAAAATAATACATTGTGGATTAAATTAAAAATGTATATGTAACAATAGATTGTTTGTCTAGAACAAAATGTTCAATATAAATTTCACAAAGAAATGTCAACATAAAACAGTACACAGTAAATAATTAAGAGTAACTGATTTTATATACATAAAACAGTATTCAATAAAAAGTTATGTAGTATATGACTATATTCCAAAAAAAGATAACCAGCGAAGATAAAACCTGGGAATGAGCGAGAGTATATGGAGGTGGAGATGGAGCAGCGGCGGCGATATACAATGGCAAGTTATAACTTTACTCTTTTCTTTACAGTGCAAGTTACAATAAAAAACATATCCTTTTTATCCTAAGATGTGCCCATGGGCACATGAGCAATTGGTGTGCTTTATTTTCAAGTTTCAAGAAAGAATGTAATTTTAAGATATATGGTTGAAAAATTGATATGATTATGACTAGAATTTATACGTTTATCACTGTTATCTAGGATAATTTGAGAGAGGTATGAGCATTAAAATCTCATTAATTGCTTCTAATCATGTACCACCACAAGGGTGTATAAAGGGGAATTCTCCCCCTTTCAAATTTTGACAAGATTGGCCGTTCCCAAGATTTGAACCCCTGACCTCTCTCGGTCACACTGCAACACCTTAACCGGTGCGCCAATACATAACGAAGTAAAAAAAAACATCCAAAGGTCAAAAGTAGTGTAGACAACATGGGACACAAACGTTCGCCATACTGGCAGTAAAATGGCCAAGCAATAAAAGGCATAGAAAGTACAACATATTAAGTAACAATTAGTGTGCTTTCTAAAAACCTACTTAAAAAGTTAACAGCTTATTTTTCTAGATGCCACATTGCTCCCAACACAGGCAACCAAAAAGATGACAACGATCTCCGAGAAATGAAGCGTTTTCCAGAAAAGCATCATTTTATCTGTTTTGAATGGTCCATGGAATTATTATTATGCTAATGTGGGCTATGTTTCTTTAGCTTGCTTTTGCTCATACCAATTTTTTATGCTTATTTATGGACGGGTTTCCTGGAACAACACTTCTCTCTTTATTAGCATTAGGTACTTCGGCTGTAATATCATCAAGCCCTCCAGCAGTTCAAGGCAGACAGTTATTTTCAAATGTTGCCAAGCTTGGGTTTGCTGCTGCGCATGATTCTCCAGCACTGAAATTAGGGGAGTCTCCTCTGACAACCGAAACATCTCATAGTTCTTCTGTTGAAAGAGGCAAGTGAAATACCATTTAAATACTTTTTCTTGGAATCCCTGATGTGCCACCCTGGCCCACCCATAGAATGTTTTTTTTGCTTATGCTTTTGAGAGTATATAAAAGTTTAAAGATTATAGAGAAAGCACTTTGTGATTAAAACCTGGCAGTGTTTGAAAATGGAAGGATTCACAAAATGTAGTTGGAGTCTGGAAAAAACTAAAAAGTAAAGTTTGGTGTTGTTTTGATGAAAACCAGTTTTAAGTACCGCTCCCTTGGTTTTAGCTTTAACTTCAAAGTTATTAAAATCGAGTAGAACCACCTACTTGATATCATCACTTCCAGTTTTTTTTATAGGGATAATTTGAGTTTGCACCCCACTTTATTGTGCAAATTGGACATTGCACCCCGTTTTTAAAAAAACTTTGTTTTTGCACCCCCAATCCAATATGAAAAGACAAAATTGCCCCACCATTCACAATTTTGTTGGCCTTCAACATATTCCTTATTGAGGGCATTTTTGTGTTTTCACACGGGGTTGGGGTGCAAAAACAAATATTTTTAAAAATGGGGTGCAAAGTCCAATTTAGACAATAAAATGGGGTGCAAACTCAAATTACCCCTTTTTTTTATTAAAAGGCACAAGAGTGTTTTGCACTATAAAAGCAATGAAAAACAGTGATGTAATGATATCTGTAAAATAGTGTCATTATCAGTATATGCAAGTGTTTCTCCGGTACTATAGCATCTTTGATTTTTGTTATGTCTGATTAGTGATTTTTTTCCAGGGGCAAGGCATGCCGGTACTACGGCAACTTTGACATTTGCTAATGTTACATCTAGACATAATGCGGCTGAGGCCTCAAATATTTCAAATGCCAGTGAAGTAGGGAAGAAGGGAAAAAAGCCAAACCGCGTCCTCCTTTCAACAGCTGTTTCACGCCGATATTGAGCCTTACACCCCTTATGTAGTTTGTCAAGTACAATGTAGTACAGCACTACATTGTCTCCTAACTAACACTTGTTATGCTGTTTTTTACAGTATTTATGAATACTCGTTTCATATTGTTCAGTTACTCAATCTACATATTGATTAATAAAAACTAGGTACTCGTATACCTCGCCAGGGTCCCAATAAGCGGGACTCATTTGAATTAATTGAATATGATGCACTTTAAAGTGAAAATATGAAATTGGTTTAAAAAGTAATATTGGTTTGTTTAGAGCATTTCTAATGTATTGCTTGGATTTTGTAGTTTGTACGGTCTCTCACTCTCCAATACTTTAAGAGAGATGGATTGGAAGTGATTTTTTATTTGATACAATAAAAATAATGTAGGGAACATGCAAAAGAGGGGAGGCATAGATAAAATATGGGTTTAATTTGATTTAAAAAGTAAAAATTAGAATAAATTGTGGTATATCTAGGTTCTAAATTGGGACTCTCCTTGGATATTGAAACCAGACCCCCACAACTTGTGGGCCACAAGTAAAAATTTAAAAAAAAAATAGTAGATCAGAAACTCCTTAAAACCTGCATCATTCTTCCAGAGCTGGTGGCTGCAATGTAAGGAAGGGGATGAGCCAGACTATATTGAGAATTATTGTCAAGGAATGGTTATACTAGAGACGGTGGCATCAAGTTTGAAGTGGTACCTAAAATTTGGACCGCTTGGCTCCCAATGAAGTGGTAAACCATAATCCAAAAATGTTTACCACCTAAAATTATCTATATAATTCCATATATGAGACTAAAATAGACGGAGTGATACTTCGTATAATTTTTCGAATTTTACTGAAATACACATTAACTTATAAAAGATGAATTATTAACTAATTTTATTCTTATTTAGGATTGAATGATGAACCATGGACACTCTACGTATGCACATAACTCATGTTTTACAAGTATTTGCAATAATTTCTTAAATCTATAGAGAGAGACGCACATACGGCCATGTCATTGGAAGTATACTCCTTAGCTAAAAACTGAACAGCAAGATTCCATAGGTGGCCATGGAAGCCAGGCTCCAAACTAAGTTTAATCCTGGGAGCACTAGTATTTACAAGTGGATATTATTCTCAAGAATAAGCTAGGCAACAAAGCAAAATAGAAGCAGAAACTAGTAGCGTTGTGCATGACAGCAGCTAATTAGAGGACTTTTGCTGGGATGTTGCTGGTCTTTTACAACTGCTGCTTTTGGGAACTGATGATGATGATGCACTCGGAGAATATCGATGTTCGACCCGTACCTGGTGTGTGATTGTCTCTGTGGAACGGCTTCCAACCACATTGATCAACAACACCACTTCTTTATCTTTGTTATCATCTGACCACCGGCTCTGTGCAACTCCCCCGTCAGCAGATTCTTCCGACGTGTTGAAGTCGTAGTGGCGTACCAATACTTCTATGGTCTGATCAGGTTTAACCATTCCAGCTGCTGGGGTTACCTGATCCATAAGTGAATACATAGTGTTAAAGTCCCACATCTGACAATTCAGGAGAAGATGCGGGTTGATAAAATCACAGGTTAGACAAACTAATAGATTGACTTGCACTTTTAGTGTGGTTTGACCCAAGTGTCTTATGACCAAGTTGAATGACCCAACCCAATCCTGAATTCTATAGCATATTGCATGGTACGTGAAAGCTCAGCGCATTAGAAGCTCCCACATACTGCAAACTCCCACTTATCCTATGGAATAAGTGAGAGCGTGCATATTTAAGAAAGTTTTACTATTCCATGAATTGGTCCATGACTGACTTCCTGTACACTTCATTATCCATCCACAAGTGATGATAGTGTAAGCAGACACATCATTATCCATTCACAGGTGATGATGTTGTAAGCACACACATCATCATCCATTCACAAGTGATGATGGTGTAAGCAGATACATTTAACCCATTTCCAATCTAGTTACCAGTGAAGAGCAGAGTGTTCTTTGTAATCTAACCTCAAGCCACCGGGGAAATCCCATTGAGCCTCTAGGACGATGATCTGACAGCTCACCACCTTCTCCTGTTGGAGATTGAGATTGACCTTTACATAAAATTTGGAAAAGAGCTTTATCGTTTCCACTTTTATTGGTTATTATTAAACTGAATGTGTCTTGATCCTGAAGAACTATCCTGTCAGTGCTAACCCTTGTTTCTGGAACATTCCGCAATTCTTCAAGGCACGCCCTGACTTTTTCATTATTTTGATAAATTTTACCAAATTCTTCTCTTCTCGTGGATCTATCAACATGAGCAATTTCAACGTTTAATTTGCATCGCACTGGTTTATGATCACTTTCTGTTACTTCCATAGCAGCTTCGTACCTGGCCCCATTTGAGAGTTGCAGTGCACTTGTGAGAGGTGATGCAACAAGAGAATTGACAAAAGGATAAGAAATCAGCAAGCCAAGAAACTTACTGTTCAATGGATCCAGCTACTGGGCATACCAAGCTGCACTCTGCAGTAGGAGTTGCTCGGCTGTCACGATATAGTACCCTGTCACACCAAGCCGGAATTCGTTTCTTTTCACCCGAGTCATACCCTAAAGACATAATGATGAAAATGTTTGTGAGGAAGTCATGCCATTGAGAAATACAAGCTTGAAAAGACCGTTCTCATAAACGAGTAGAGCTAGGTGTACACAAAAGTTGTACACTTGTCTGTCTCCCACAAACAAGTTGTCTGTCCGGAAATGAGTTGTTTGTCCACAGACAAGTCGTTTCCGGACAGACAACTTGTCTGTGAGGGACAGACAAGTGTACAACTTTTGTGTACACCAATCTTTTTTCCTCATAAACTATACTAGACAACTTTAATTAAACTTATATGTATCAGAAAAGAATTTAAATTATACTCCGTACTTCTTATCTATAACTCCATATGTATCAGTACATTAACACTCGACGTTCCATCATTAAAAGGTCTACCTTATAGGACTATAGAAGGATGAGTACAAGACCTTGTATGTAAGTTCATAGTTTTATACTTGGCCGGTGTAAGATGCCTTACCTTCTCCTACAAGATGGTAGCTCATACAAATCTTGGAGTTGGTCTTATATGTAAATTTATATTTTTGTATTTAGTTTGTGTGGGATGGTTAACATGCCCGCAAGAGGGTGGCTCGCACCAATTTGAAGTCCATGTGCTGATGTGCTCCTCATTGCCTCGTGGGTAGCTCTTTAAAATTAATTTAAACCAAATTGATACTCAAGATTCCATCTCTAAAAGGTAAACCTCATACGAAAAAGAGTCCAAATTATGTTCAAGTTTATTTTTGTAGTAGGGTAATGTGGATGGATTAATCACATTTACTACAAGCGTTGTGTCTATAGAACATATATATTTCATACCTCCTAGCCCAGGCTTCCCCTTTTCAAACTTGTAAGTTGGAGGGAACCGGATGATTGCTTCACGCATTCCCTGAAATACTTTACCAGCTTTCATTTCTGCTCTTAGTTGATCTTTTTCCCGAAGCCAATCAAAGCTTCTCTGTGAAACCAGGTCCCTTGCTTCATCATAAGTTATCCCAAAAAGACGATAATTAAAATCGCCAAAGAAAGTGACCATATCGGCTTCAGCAAGATCATGCTTCCCCTCTTCAGGATTAAGACCTGCAGCCTGTTAATGATTCTAGTTAATGAAGTAATATGTAGGATCATTCAACTACTGGATTAATACAGCTGCAAGAAAAACATCCATACATTTGTACCCCGAAGAACTTGAGCAGCGGATGAAACTGTAGCTGCAAGAGAGACGAAGATAATCCATGGCAAGCCAGAAGGGTAAAGTAGCCAACATAAATACGTGGACAACACAAAAGAGCAAGACAAAAACAGGTATTGCAGCATACCAGCAGCATTGAGGATTGGAGACCGAGAGAAAGTCATTGTTCGAAATATATGGCAAAAATCGGCATTTCGACGATTGACTGCTTCCAAATGTGCAGCAAAGTGACAGTTCAGAAAGCACATTAAGCGATCAAATACTCTTAACCTCAAACCAACACCCCCCTGTACAGTGAATGTGTTATGATAAGCTTATAGGGTCATCAGCATCAAGAATAACACGATATGAGCCACAGAGAAGCAGTAGCACAAGTTTTAATCATACGAATTATAAATTTAAGACGGCAATGCTGATACCAACATACTTTGGTCATTTATTAATTTACATAAATGTCAACCACTTAAATATAAGAAAATTTTCTGAACTGTCAACCAATAGGTTTTGCTAATGTAAGCATCTATGTGGATTAGTTTGCTGGAAAATCCATAGGAAAGTTCCATAGAAAATTATTACCAAGTATTGCCGGAGTCCATAGAAAATTTCGTAAAGGGAATGAGATGTTAATGCAATGGTAAAATAATTTTATTCAAATCACCAAAGCGTTTTTCAAAGTTAAGTCTTCATTAGTTTTACACTTTCATTGCACGGAGTATAATTCACACTAGCAGTGGCAATGGGCAGAACTAGTGTTTAATCTGAAAAACAAATACACTGATATTTATACGTTATTTAATATTTACTCCCTCCGTCCCAATTTGTAAGATACTTTACGGTTTACGATGTTTGACCGACGATAAAGCAAATTGACCCCTATCAACACTCAAATTAATTTTAGAAAATAAAATTTACATATTCAGAAACTACATTAAAACCGCTACAAAGCCTGCAAAAAATAATTCAAATTTCATAAACTTTTGATATATAAGTTCGAAGTACCATTTGTACAAATAGGAAAAAGATTAAGAGTAATTTATGTTGACCAAGTGAATAGTAAATGTATCTTACAATTTGGGACTGAGGGAGTATATTGTTTTTCTTTGTTTTGATTTTGAGCTAACTCTTCATCATTAGATAGTGTATAAATTAGCACGAAATGATACATTTAGAATATTTAAACTTTGTTATATAACAATATAACGGCAATATCAGAAAACTTATCCAGCTAACACTTTGCAAGAACTAATGGATTCTCATCAAATATAAGACAAATAAAATATACAGTGTCCTTAAATTAATAAATTGTACTAAGAGTACAGTATAAACAATGTACAAAATGTGCATATATACAAAATATGCCTGTATACAACATAGCAGTAAAAATATCGAGGGAGGGGGGGGGGCTACAGATCAAATTCGTTTATTTTAGATAATATTTGTGAGAAAAGTTACCTTATTACCGATTGCTCGGCCTAAACCACATGCAACAGCTCCAACATCAAGGTCCCCAACATGTGTTCTTAGTGTCTTTCTTACCCTGAATGAAACCAATATCCATCAAACGATAGGACATAAGTTTTCATCTACAAGAACTGTTCAAATTATGTGATGAAAGGAGCCATCGATGATTACCAGATTGTGATGAGCAAGGCAGCCAGCTGTCTGGATCCTACACGTTCAAAAACTGATCCCTCACCTAAGACTTTTCCTATAGCATCCTGCCACCATTGTCCAACAGCACTTCCTTCAAGCCCTACCTAAATTTTACATAGAGCAATTTGAACAACTCCAAGCAACAAAAAAAGGCAATTAAAAACAGCTCATGGAGTTCCTATTAAACTTTGTAGAAGGGTAGGAGAGATTTTGGCAACTTAAAGCTATAACTATCCAAAATATAGCAAGGTGCCTTTTTACTCAAAAGCCTATGACTATATTCAGTGTCTTGTTTGGTTCAGAGATTTTTAAGAAAAGGGGACGAGTGGGTGGATTTTTGTTTTAGTAATATATCTTTAGTTGTTAATTTAGCCTAGAAATAACCATATAATTAATTAGATCATGTATTTCTGTAAAGTTTTGGTCTTCACTTTATTCCAACCATCTAAATGTAGAAATAAATGTAAAAATATAAATCACCAATCCCCTTCTCTCCTCACCGGAATCTCATAACCAAACAAGCCCTAAAGGAATATAGATGGACATAGTAAAATATATCAAAGTGCATACAGTTTCTTTAGCAGCAGACATTGCAAGGAACCCTGCACCCATCTCCACTTCTTGTAATCCAACAACAACAATCTCAACATCTGATGCTGCAGAGCCCAGCCACGCATTAAGGGCTTCTTGAGAAGCTCTTCCTTGACCAACATTCCATGTCCCAATTAAAATTCTGACATTTGTAAGTTTTCTATATTTTCCTTCCTTTCTTGCCAATTCTTGTCGCATGATGTTATCAATGGGTCCAGGTGAGGCAATGCTCCATCCACGTATGCCACCATGGTTAGCCAAACTAAACACATAACCATTTCCAACTGCCAGCTTCATAACGGGGCCATTGTGAGCAACCCAACTAGCAATTAGGTTTCCTTCAAGGTCCAACACCTGTAGCATACCACTCACATAGCCGACCCATATTTGTGACCCGCAAGTGCAAAAGCATAAAACAGCACAAGGATGGTGAAGGAAGTCTTGTATGCGGTTTCCACTTCCATCCCACTGCACGAGTAAGCCAGTCGAACAACCGGTCCAGATTATTCCATCTGGAGCAAGCAAAATTGCTTCTGTTTTCTTAGCATCCTCCACGAAGGCTGTTCTAGTTGCAGCTCTACGAACAGCATCTGCTGCACAATTCAAAGCATTCCGTGATCGCTGCAAGAACCCAGCCTTTTCCTTTTTAGATTTTGGCAGCAGCTTAACATTAATCTCGTCTTCAACTGCTTGGTCTTGGGATGAAGGCATGTCAGCTCGGTTCTCAATTTGACCGTCTACATTATATACTTTTAGAAGCTCTCTTGTATGACCATCCCTGATGTTTACCAAAACGATCAGGACAAATGTGGAAGATAAGAAATCATGAACTTCTCAGTGCCGTCTGTTTTGGAAAATTACTCGTATCCCAAAGCCATATTGTATATTCTAGTTTTCAAAAGTCAATTAGTTATCCCAAAGTTTTATCCCTTAATGACTGTTACTGGTCATCCATCTACATATGCTAGTCTCAAAGATAATTCTTCTGTGAGTAGCAAAGACGGGGGAGGGGGATGAAGAGCAGATGACATATAATGATGATGAAACGTTTGAATTCTAAGACCGGATATTTTAGACAACATCCATTAGAATTGAAAAATATATGGAGAAAAATGAGATACAATATTAATGGGAGGGGAGAAGCAGTGAGAATAATTAAAGCTCAGGGATAACTATGTTATTATGACCTAACCTCAAGAGATAATAGTAGTTTTCCTTACTTTTTACAAACAAGTTGCTCAAAAACTATCATAGCATATAGTCTAAAACTTTTTGCACATTCTAATTCAGAATCACAAGTAAAATATCATCAGATTTAAACCAAAGATAGTGTTCCGAAAATTACCACAGAGAGAAGGATAAAGATCCAGCTGCCCACACTTTAGCTCTTACGTGATCAGACAATAGGCACTTCACCTCCGAGGATGAGATATTACAAACACCATTAACAGTAACTTGGTTCCTAAGATCAATGCCTGACCTTTCCACAAGTAAGGCAGCCATATGCTTCTCTTCGGGTGACAGAGAGAGAGACTTTTCAACACTCTCCCAAGGCCAGACCTTGATGGTTCCACCCTCAGAACCCGACCATATATCACCTGGCCATATGCCCATGAAGTAAATTCACTGTTAGAAATATTTTACTCCATCCGGCCATTTTTACATATCATATTAAGGTGGTCCCAAATGCAGATCACTTCTGTGTTATAAATGCACAACTTACATTTTCTTCCACAGTTGTCCGTCTTAATAACTCTAAAACATATCCCCATAATAATGTTTTAAGGGCATACTGGGAAAATGAAAACTGTTTTATATACTTCTAAGCATTTCCTTGGCATTGTCTCGAAGCCAAACTCCTGCTTTATAATAATGACCAGTATAAAAGGTATACTCATTCTGTTCCATAAAAAACAGGTTTCAAAAACTTAGGTTTTTAATTGATAAAAAAGAAGCTGATTTTATGTTATTTCCCAAAACAGAAGACAAGTTGTATACATATGAATATATGATAAAGTTAGCTAAACCAACGAATATAAATTTTAATTATATGCAGTATAAAAGAATTATAACAGTTATAACTTACAAAACTACTACGAGTCATCCGGAAACTGCGTACATCCGACCCCCCCTTACCCCACCGTGGGTGGGAGCCTTTGCGGCACTGGGGTAAATGAAATAACTTACAAAACTAACAAAGTTTTAACTTAGTCAAACATGACACTTTTCTGGAGAGAGGTAGTATAAATAAACTTCTATGGTACCACGCAAGTTCCTCATAAGGGCTAAGGCTAACCACAAGATACTTAAGTAGAAGTTATTTTTTCCAACCATTACCGTTCTCTTTTAGGCTCTGTTTTGTTGGAGGATTATGAAGGGAAGGGGAAGAAAGTGGATGATTCATGTGTGTTTGGTTGGAGGAAGTATGAAGGAAGGGGAAGAAGGTGGATGACTTCCAAAATCCTCCATTCTCTTGAATTTTAAATCCCCCAAATCGGGGTATTTTGGAGGAGAGCTTTGCAAAATCATGCCTTCTCCTCTCCCCCCCAGCCTCCTTGCCTCTTCCCTTCCTTCCCCTCCTTTGAGCCCCAAAGGAGGGGAATTAGCAAACAATGAAAAAAGGAGACACCAGGATCATCAATGGTAATTAACATAAATCTAAGGTTGAATCAGATGCCCCTAAAGTTGCAGCACAAACAAATTGCTCCCTCAAATTCCAGTTCAACTCAATAAATAATATTAGGCATGAGATATGAAGACATGCACTAAAAGCTAATGCAAGCGAAGAGTAACAATTACCATAAGAAGAAGTCACCATTGATAGAACTTGACCACGGTGAGCCTGCCAGGAGAGGCCTTCCTTAAAAGGTGAATCATCTGAATTGCAACTGTCCATCTTCCAAGACCTGATTTTTCCATCCTTGTGCCCTGTCCACACCAACTTACTCCCCAAATCAACCATTAGACACAGTGCAGGAGACGTGACAGCCGATTCATGAAACGGTGCTGCATCCTCATCCCCTCTCCTTGCCCTACCCCCAATTCCGATCCCCGCCTTATACACATCCGAGAAGTTCCAAAATCTCACCCCTGATTCTTGCCCTGCCCATAGTTGTGTCTCTGTACATGCAATGGTTCGCAAATATTTCCCAACCTGCAGTCACATTGAAACAATCAAGCACAACTATAGACAGGTTAGGGCACAATTTCCATTGAATTTGCAGAAATCATTAGTTGGCGTGTAAAATGGCTTACTTTCAGACAATGACAAAGGGGAAAGAGAGATTTCAAATAAATAAATAAAAAAAAAACTAATCAAATTAGCATAACCTGTGTTTCCCTAAGAGGGTGAGGCCGGAGCTCAAGGCAAGGCGGACGGCCAGGGTGAACAGCAGAGCGAGAGGGAACTTTAAAAATTCCGGTGCCACCTCCAGCCCCAATAAATTCCGGCAAGTAGTTTCTGTTTTGGAACTCTTGCGGTCCATCTGCGGCCGGCGGGCACCCGTCCTGGCCATCGATCACATTAGCATGATCGTGTGAATCGGAGCCGTTGGAGGTGGAATAAGGACGAAAGGCGCCACCACCGTCACCATCCTTTTCTTCTTCATAGCTATCGTAGATAGCGTTTTGAATGTTGGGAATGCGATCCTCGTCGAGGCTGTGCTTGCGGAGCTGGTGGTGGCGCTTGTGGTGGGTCCCGGTGTTGGTACGGAGCTGCTGGCTGTAGGAATGGGACTTCCGGCGAGGCGGGGTATTGGACAGCCCTTCCAATACGTTCCGGTCATCTTCTTCAGGTCCTTCGTCCATTGAATTGTGGAAATTGGGATCAATTGCAGCAACGTAGGAGTGATACCAGCAATGAGAAAAAACTGCGATTCATTGAGAGGATGACAGAATGCAGTGAGAGTGGAGGAAGGAAGGAAAGAGACAGAAGAAGAATGGGAAACGTGGGGAGGAGAAGAAGTGGGAAAAGGAGAAGCGGAGGAATGGTTCGTTGCATGGGAAAGCGGAAGGCCAGCCAGCAGAACGCGGGGACGCCATTGCTGCCTCCATTTGTGTTTTTCATATTTGAAAATTGTTAAAAATAAAAGAAAATTGATGTAGAAATGAGTAGAATTTGAACAAATTCAAAAATAAGATAAAGTTAATTATCTCTCAAAATAAGATTTATTTAGTAATATTGAAAGAGTAAAGCAGTAAAATGTGTTTGAAGTATGAGTAAATAATTATATTTTAAAGAGAATATAAGGGTGTATCATGAGTTTTAAATTTGATAAAATGTGCTATGTTTTTCAATATATTGATAAGTTTTCTTTAAAAGAAGATTATATACATTTTTCATGGTTTGGATATGGAATCTATCGACAACTCTAGTGTGTAAATCATCGATTATGTGTTATATTGGGCCTTTTAACTTTAGTACGGAGTAATTAATAACAATATTATTTAGACTTTAGAGCTTTCTTATTAGAAAATTGTCAAAAATGAAAAAAAATGCAGTAAAAATGAGTAGAATATGAACAAATTCAACAAAAAATTACTCCGTATCATTTATTTACAAAATAAGATTTATTTAGTTATATTAAAGGAATAAATGATAAAAGTGTTTAAAGTATAAGGAAATAAATCAATATCATATATATATAAGATGAACTTTTTAAGAGCATACAGAGTGCCACATAACCCTGTCATGTCATCATTATTTTAATTTACGTATTTATAATTTTGGCCAGACTAATTTGGAAAGAAATAGGAAGAGAATGTAAAAACATATATTCGGAATCACTATTCGTATGTCATAAATTGGAATCATATCTAAAAATGTCGTATGGCCAGATTAAATTGGAATAATTTAAGGCTTTACGTATATTTTGGGATCACTATTCGTATGTTTAGGTTTCTATATTCGAAATTTAAAAACATAAAAATTACATAGAGTTGAACACTTGATAATATTATAAAAAGGAAGAGAATGTAAATACTTCTGATCAAGTAGGTTACCTTATTTAATAAGGATGAAAATTGATATCATACATAAATACATATATGTATGTATGTTTTCACAAGTAAGGATGATTTTACTTGGACTGTAATTTGTCCCAGACCAGACTAGACCAGATCAGACCAGACCAGACCAGACTTGGGTAGTTATAAAAATACAAAGAAACCAGACCAGACCAGACCAGTAAATTACAGTCCAAGTAAAAACATCCTAAATACATTTACGCCTAGCCAAAAAAGTAAATATGTTTGGTTATTTATTTATTTTACAACTACAATTTAGACGTGCCTTCACTTTTGAAATAGATTCCTAATTCAAATTAGAAAATCTTTACATGTTCACAAATACCGACTTTTATTTCAATAGAATTTTTTAATTGAATTGATTTCAGTTCCAGATTAAATCAGATCAGATCAAACTTTAATAATAATAATAATAATAATAATAAGTCACACAAAATGTAAAAGAAACATCTACGAGAACATATTAATTCATACCAAATTAAACAGCAAAATTTTAATCCAATTAAAGACGTCCTTACTAATGAGTAAAATGTAAGATCTCACAATTAAATTTTAAAATGTGCATTTCATACCAAGCTGAATGAGAAATACTAGAAAAGTATTATTTTTAAATGCTCAATAAAGTAATTTAGATGTTCAAAAGAATTAAAAATTGTTTTTCAATATAACAAAATAATGAGTAAAATGTAAAAAAAAAATCCATCTTTTACATTTAGAGCGTGACAAAATAATGAGCAAAATGTAACATCTTATTATTAAAAGTTAAAGTATGCACTCGGTATTTCATATCAAGTTGAATAAGGAATAGTAGAAGAAAACGCTTGAGGTACATATTAAAGTAATTTAGAGGACGTGAGATTATGAATTCTTTAAAATCGGGTTCATAACGATTATATTTACTTGAGATGCTTATGTAGAAGATCAATTTAACTATTTTTCATATAATCTTTTCTTGGCTTCACAAATGGAATATATTTTACATATTTTTTTTCATGATTCAGAAGATTCACCTATTCAGCCCATTCAGACAGAATTTAATCAATTTCAGTAAAATAAGTTATTTCGATTTATTTTAGTATTATCAAACAGGCTCTATATTAGACTAAGTTTATTTTTATGTTAAATCACATTACAAATGATCCAAAAGAAATCAAATTTCAAATTAGCTAAATTACATACTGCCCGTGCATTGCACGGGCTTGAAAGCTAGTGTTCATATATTTTGAAAAGAAAAGGCCTTTTTCGGTGAATATTACTAAATTAAATTCAAAAGATAAAAATATGACTTACTTTAAATTTTTCCAAAAATGACATATCCAGTGACTAGTTCTGAATGACTCATCGTCTACCCGTGTCTGATTGGGTTTGGTGTGTAGAGATTTTGATGGGCGAGAGAAGTTCCAGACTTTTTCTACATATTTGCAGTATTTTCTCAGTCAGAATTGTTGAGCCAGCATGTCAAGGACAATGTTATCTCAAGACAATCAAGATAACACTGTTTCATTAATTTCTGACAAGTCAGCGTTATAAGAGTGCAAACATGTTGCATTGGAGACCTAAATATTAGAGTCAATGTTGACATTGATAATGTGACCGTCTTTTTTAGTGAATATGACTGCATAGAATATCTCGAAAGCATGAACTACTCATAGAGAATCAGAGGCATACCACCATCACAAACATGCAGGGGCGGAGCCATGGGGGGGTCAGGGTGGTCAGCCGACCCCGCAGAAAGTTTGGGAGTATAGAGCTCTGAAATATCTTCGATTTGATATATTATGGCCCCCGTAACTCATTACGAGTACAAAGTTATGACTTCTGGAAAATCAGCACCATATAAACGTAAAATCAGCAAAATTTGATGCATAATATTGATTATTTTCCCAAATTTTATAAATAACGTATAATTAACTCGTTACTTGCGTGACATGATTCAGAAAAAAGAGCAAAAACAATCTATTTTATTGCTTACGAATGCCTTTTTGTCTAAAAATGATATACCATTTTCATTTTGTACATACTTGATTTTCGACCCCTCTGACCTGTTTTTCTGGCTCCGCCACTGCAAACATGATCAAAAGTAATGGAGGGAGTCAGGACATAAGCATACAGCCCTTTTTATGAAAATCAAGACATAAATATGTCTTGGATGTATGTTTTTATGCTTTCAGTTAGATTTCCTATTGAATTAGAGACTCTAAGCTATGAGACTTTTTTGATTTTTTTGAAGACTATACTCTAAGAAGCAAGCTTCTACAAAAAGGAAGCCCGGTGCACATTGACGTCTCCACAAGGCGAGGATCCGAGAAAGGGTCCCACCACAAGTTAGCAAGCTTCTACAACTAACCTACATTTTGAATGGGTCATTCCAATTCTTGATCTAGACAACACCATAATCATCTTCTGCCACTTGGATTGGAAACCTCTAATCTAAGACAACTAAAATCAACCAATACCTAAATTGAATAATATTGACTGTGTGTAAAAATGTATCTTCATGAATAATCTTCGTATGTTTACTTTACCCCTGTGTGTACTTTAGTTAAGATCTGTGCACCTGTAGTTCCTTAAGATTGACACATTGTTTAAGATACAGTTTGACTTAGAAAGTTAAAGTTTAGGATAGATAGTAATAAAACATCTACACTTTGCAATGCTAAATGAAAGGTCAAAAACACTGCAAATTCATAGAGCCATAGAGAATATAACATATTAACCATTCTTTGCAAACTTTCGCACGGGAAAATAAAAAAAGGAGAAGCCAGAAAAAAGAGAACTGAATTTGAAGCAAAAAATGGCGTAAAAGAGCAAATTTAGAAATCTACTCAGTGAAGTACACTTGGGAGACGATCATAGACTGGAATTGACTAGTGAGATCGCCTCTATCAGTGACTAGAGCGTTCGGGGACACGTTCCAGTACTCGCCGTAGCGAGTGATGTCAATATCACCAATCCTCATGTTATTGTTGATAACATTTGAGGAGATGACATTGACCTGGGCAGCCTGAGCATCCTGAAAATCTTCTGTAACGATATACGGGCATGTGGTGGATGCAGCAGTATTAAAGGCCATGTGGTGGGTAGCCTTATTGAGGGAAACCCGCTAGAAGATCGTGGCAGCGGGGATGGCAGTAACCTCAGCTCCTGAGAAAGTGATCAAGCCAGCAGCTGAGGAGGTGGGATGGATGTCAGACATACGGACATTACCTGTCCAATGCTTATTAAAAGTGTGCATTCCTCGAAGGAGGACGCTGAACCAATCGAAACGAGATGAACTCATCATCATGTCGTCAATGGAGTTTGTAATGTTCCAAGTAGCGGGGACGGGGGCATGCTCGAGATCATAGGCCAGTGGAGCAGGGAAGACAATAGAAGCATTTCTAATGTACTCGAAAAAGCGACTCATTAATCCGTCGGAAGCGTTGGGACAGTGGGCAAAGCCAACAGACTTGAGGAGTCTAGAGAAGTAGGGGAGCTTTGCATCACCATCAGGAGGAAGGGAGATACCAAAGATTTTGCTGAGGGGCTCATAAGTAGCATATTTCCTGGGTACCAGGGCAGTATCAGAGTCAAGGTACTTCAGGAGGTGGACAAATTGGTCATACATCAGAGCAATATTAGGCACTATAGAAGTAAGACCTTGGAACATTTCTTCCTTGCAGGGTGGCTGGAATTCCATGTTGTAAAGCCGCTCTTCGTCCAGCGTGATCACGGGGAGAGCGGGGGCAACATCTCGAAAATTCCCGAAGCCCGGGGAGCTGATGGAGAGCGAGCGAAAGAAAGGAACCAGAGGACCCGGAATCTCAATCATCTCAAGGGGGAACTGATCCAGAAACCTGTTCAAGAAACAGATCTGCTCAGAGGATATCATCATTGTCAATGCCTGTGCTCGAAGGAAAGCGAAGACGATATTCGACGCTTGGGGTATCCAATCATTGACACAACCATTACAGGAGAAGTCTGGAAGAGAGCAGACTTTGTCATTCATGGCAGCCAGAAAGTTGAACATCATTCCGAAACATGGAATGAAGAAGTTGGCGGAAGGGTGGGCAACTTCACGGAAGGGAAGGTGGGAGGAGATTCTGCGAAGATGGTTGACTGGGAAGGGTCGAGGGACGACGACATTAATAGCTAAGCGGGCAGCAGTCTTGCTTTTCTTCTTGGAAGTTGCAGGGTCAGGATAGTAGGCGGGCATGGCACTGGGATCAGACATTTGAAGAAGTTGAGAGGTAAAGTTTGGGTTAACGTTAGAAAACTGATTCCCCTTTAGTAGGCTTTATCCTTGTGATTGATTTTGAAGCAGGAACTCAGATAAAATACTCCGTATTAATTTAAGAGCTTGGTGTATATAATGTTGGCTTTATCCCTCCAAAATTAGTGTTGATCGTGTTGCTCCTAGATTGATCTCGTTGACCATCTAGCTCCGAGAATTGACATGCGGAATCATCACTAAAAGGAACTAAAATATACGATAGTATTAGAAGTTCGAGACACGTCAGACGCTGTCCTAAAGGCATCCCATCCATATATTATTTTTGGGATCGTTTTGATGATGTGGAGGATTTTTTTTTGGGAATCATGTATGAGGAGTTGAGATTATTTTATGGGATTATTTGATAAAATAATATGGTATCAAATTCTAAAGCTGGATTATTTTGAGATTATTTCCAACTTTTAGACTCCTCTCTCTATTTTCTAGGCATATACTCATACTTGAAGTGATGACTAGCTTTGTAGAGATTTTGAAATTGAGTGCATGTTTCATAAAAAAATTAGGTAAATTAAAAAGTCATAAAAAATCGTAAACTTGAGTATCATGAATGGAGATGCTCTAAGGAATTATTTCCGGCGTACGGAAATTTTTCCCAAGATATAACGAGCTCTTCCATTATAATCCGTACCAGAACTACCGAGAAGAAAATTATTATATGAACTCAACAATAAAAATATAAGTTTTGTATAACCAGTTTGTTCATAATCTCTTTTCATTATACATGTAGCATCTATACACATAGCTTTGTAGGAATTGAACATCATTCCGAAGGATGAAATGAAGAAGTTAGCGCCAGGGTGGGCAACTTCACCGAAGGGAAGGTGGGAGGAGATTCTGTGAAGATCGGTGACTGAGAACGTTCGAGGGACGACGACTTCAATGGCTGAGCGGGGAGCAGTATTGCTTTTGTTCTTGGAAGTTGCAGGGTCGGGACAGTATGGGAGTGTGGCATCTCTGGGATCATACACCTTGAAGAAGTAGAGAGAGTAAAGTTTGGGTTAATGTTAGAAAACTGAACAGGCTTTATCGTTTTGATTTTGAAGCGGGAACTCAGATAAAATACTCGGTATTTAGGTAAGAACTTGGTGTATTTAATTTTATAGTGGCTAACGGTCTTTTCAACTTTTGTTGTTGCTGTTGTTGAGAAAACAGTCTTTTCAACAATACATGCATAATCATTTAAAAAGTTCCAGCTTTGAATATTGGTTCGGTTCTTATAAATTGCTTGTAGAAGCGATATAAACCAAGCCAAACCGTAGCAGTTCAATTCTAGTCATTTTTTGGTTCATTTTTTAAAAAAATTTCTTACAAATCACTGCTCAATTTTTGTCGCATACAGACATTTAACGTTTGAAATTATAAGTAATACAAATACGTTCAAAGTTAACATCATTTCAAACTTCAAAAAGTTAAATTTCAAATATAGGTACATAGCAAATTAAATATTTTAGTGAAGAAAACAAAATATGGTATACCCTACAAGAGAAACGGTTAAATATTACTACGTATCAAGTTATCAACTCTATTAACTAAACTATATTAGTACTGTAATATATGAATAAATTTTTAATATATATACGAATAAGTAATAGATAAAAACTTAATTATTTTATAACGGTCCCACATACATAACCTTCGTCCCTTAAAACTTTGTCAAGTTTGTCCGACACGAGGATTAATAAAGTAAAAACTGTATGATTATGATTTTGTGCAAAGGAGAGAGAATTAATTTGAATCACAAATTCTTTACTTAAAATGGAAAGTGACAAACTTTGTGGGACATATAAAAAGGAAAGTTGACAAAGTTTTAAGGAACGGGGAAAGTATTTTTTATATGAAATGAGAATCAAACCGTCAATAAAAATTAGAACTGAACCGTTAATAAATACGAAGTAATTAGTTGATGTTGCAACCGAACTGAACCGGGTCATAACAGTTAAGTCAAGTTCGGTTTGTCGGTTCTTAGATGATGAAAATATAAAGTGCCATGATATTTTTGAGTTAAAATAAAGATATTTGGAGACCCTTGCTTAAAGCTTCACCCAATACTTATCTAAGATTATTTTATAACATATTTTAACCCCTATATCTATCACAAATAGATCACCCAATCCTTGTACTAATTCTATTTTTTGTACTTTGTTCTTACTATTTTCCTTTAGAATTCTTATGGGGAGAAGATCATTCGGCTTAAGTTTTGATATTTGGATGATATTTCCTTTGTATTTTCATGTTCTTGTACTTCAGTAGTATTGTGTGGTCCTGATTGAGATGAGAGTTAGAGGTTAAGCCCATGCTCACACTAAGGATGTTTTTACTTGGACTGTAATTTGCTGGTCTGGTCTGATCTGGTCTGGTCTGGACTGGTCTGGTCTGGTAAGGTTTGGTTTCTTTGTATTTTCATAACTATCCAAGTCTGGTCTGGACTGGTCTGGTCTGGGACAAATTACAGTCCAAGTAAAAACATCCTAAATCTCTACGCCCGTTGGGTTTCTATATTTGTTCTAAGTCAATTTATTAAGAATTATTTTAACTATCCATAAATATGTTAGAAAAAATTACTTTAAATAACACTCTCCAAATAACACTAAGAATAGTATATACTTTGAAAATAACTTTTAATATTACCAATTATTTAAATACTATGTATGTAGTAAAAATGACATTGATCATTTTTTTAAACTAAAAAGTTGGTCATTTAGCTGAAACACTAATATCAAAATATCAAGCAAGTAACTGTATTTTAAGTATCATTTATTTGATAGTTTGATATTCATTTTAATTTTGTTGCTACTATACATAATTAATTGTACATCTAAATAATTTTCACATATCATCATCATCAACTCAACTAATTTTAAAATTATAGATCAAGACAAATCTTATAATGTTTTATATGTGAAAACTAGTATACTACCCGTGCGATGCACGGGATATAAATTCTTGTATTGCCAATTTATATAATTTAAATTAAAGAAATCAAAATAGTATGACTTGATTCTACATCGTGCATCCTGTAATTATATGAGAATAGTATGAAATGAGGAAACGGTCCAGCCCAGCTGGTCGCTGACTCACTCTCCCTTATGGGAGGTCCCAGTTTCAATTCTCAATGGAATGAGATTGATTTCAGTTTACCCCAGACTCCCCAAACCCCCCTCCCCCGACGCCCCCTAGGGTAAAAAATATGAGAATAGTATGAATTTGATTCTACGTCCTGTAATCTTTTAACTATATCGAATTTTTATGAATTTGAGTCTATGGATGTTTTCTTTTGGACTGTTTTCAGTCCCAGACCAGACTTAAACAGACCAGACCAGACTTAAACAGACCAGACCAGACTTCCGTAGTTATAAAATACATAGAGACCAGACGTTTACCAGACCAGACCAGACCAGACCAGACCAAACTTAAACAGACCAGACCAGACCAGACCAGCAAATTTCAGTCCAAAAGAAAACATCCTATATCGTGTAATCCCATGTATTAGAGCATCTCCAATATTACAATGTGCACGATGCACATGTGGCATAACAAATAATCACATAAATATTAGCAAATAAATTATCTCTGTTCTCATTTGAATGAATTTACACAATTTTGGTAAGTTTTTCTCTGCAGTCAACCACAATGTCAACTTCTAGACGACCTTCTTGATATTGTGGAGAAAAACTTACCAAAATTGTATAAAAACATTCAAATAAGGACATGACTATCTCTCATGTCACATGTGCACCATGCACATGGTAGCATTAGAGATTAGTTCTTATCATGCCGCTTACTATATCTTGTTCTCAAAATTCTTCCATTTTCAAATTTGTGTCTATATGTAAATAAACTATCTATATCTTGGAGAATTCTGTAGTCACGACTATTGTCAAAGGGTTTATATTTTGAGCAAATTAAATACATATTTGCGTTTATATCATTCTTGAACAAATCAGAACTTTTCAACATTTTTCTCAATGGATATGTTTATTTTACATTATAAAGGAAATAAGTATTACTCCGTATTAATTAACACCATAAAGTGAGTTGCGGAGAAATGCTAGAGTAGTGCTAGATTGTGTTTGTGGAAGTTCATATATTTTATTTGGGAGCAGTTAATTAATTAACTCTTGCTTATGGTGCCAGTCACCAAATATGAAATTCATTCTATTTCGAAGTAATTCCTGATTATTCTTATAAATAGCTCACGCTTTCAATCGATCATATGTAAATACTTCATACATGTACTTATACTTGTGTATAAGGTACAAAAGCGTACGACGACCCTCATCCCAGGGGAGAATCTATGTACCGGTGGGTGATGGTAGGCTGAAGTCCAAGTCAATTTAGAAACTTTTCAATAATTTTTTGATGTAATTTTTTTCATTTTTCACATTCAGCCCACTCCGCAAATATATGAGTCTACTATAATTCATATTCAGCCCAGGACGTCTCAAATTCCTGAATCTATCCTTTCCTCATCCAGAAAGGGTTCTCATTAACACCCAAAGATTTTTCTTGAATACTACGGAGTACTAATTTATAATATAAAATTTTATACTTGAAGAAAAATCAATTTTAGTTATTATGTTTGCATATGATTTATAAAACATTTTAAGATAATTTTCATATTCAAAATAATTTCATATTAAAGAAATATCATTTGTCAAAGTTGATTATCATTATAAAAAAAGAACAATTGACAATGGTAACATATTGTTGAAACCGAAAATAGCTAGGTTTCGTAATACTAAAAAAAAACATTTCTAAACTGAAAATATTCGTAATTCGATACACTTAAACTTCAAAGAATATGAAACATTACCTTAAGTTTATAGTTAATAGGCGACTTTTGTGGCCTTGTGGGACGATACTGTAGCGAGATAGAATAACAAATGTAGGAAGACACCTTTTACGATAGTATATACGTAGTAGTTTTAAGTGAGGGAAGTGAATCTAAACG